ACTGCAGCAGGGGGTTAGTTATTGTGGAAGGGTGAATCTCCCCTTCATTTTTCTCACTCTCAGCAGTGCTCATTTGCCCTCCCCATGACACACACAAAGGCCTCAACAGATGTGACTTCAGAGACTCCATAGCTATAAGCCAAGGGAATCTCTATCATTTATACATCGCCCAGTCTGTGGTCCCCTGTCACAGCAGAGGAAAAGACTAAGATACAGGCCAGAAAGTTCTGCAGGTGTGATTAAGTCAAGGGTCTACGGATGACTGTCCAGGTGGACCCTAAATGCAATCACACCTGTCGGTGATGAGACAGAGTAAGGCAGGCACGCAGGCCATGCTGGTGACTCTGAGGCGGCTCAAGCTGACCAACACGGGCTGCCTCTGGAAGCCAGGAGAGGCCAAGAAGTCTCTTCATCCCTAGAACCTGCAGAAGGAACTCAGTCCTTCTGCAACCTTATTTCAGCCCTGTAAACTCACTCAGAAGCCCGAGCTCCAGAACCGTAGGAGTGGGAGCATGTGTTGTTTGAGGACATTACGTTTGCAGTCCTTGGCTAGGGCGGCAGTAGGCGGATGTACAGGTGTGTGCCTGGATAGCTGATTTCAAATAATAGAAGGGGCTTGTACTCTAAGAGAGGACCGGACGATCTGAGAAGCCCTGGTGGCAAACAAAAGCAGGAGGTGGAAGCAGTAAGAAGGCATATTGGGACGCAATGGAGAAAAGCGTTCTCAACCATCAGAATCAGCTCCAGACAGAGCTAAGGTGTGATTTATCAATTTCCTTGGGAGTTCCCAGGAGCGGACTGGATGGCCAGGCATGGACTGTACCAGGAGAAGGGCATCTTAACAGGGTGAGAGGTTGTTAAGTTACCTCCAAGGTCTCTGCCACGCAAAGGCCCATGCTTTCGTTTTTCCACATTACAGAGTCTGGGGTCACGGCAATCCAGACTACACACCACCCCCTCCTTCCAGCCAGCACGCCAGCACCCCTCACAGCCCCACCCTGCCAGCCCCTCTGGAGGGGCCTGTGCCCTGGAAATGCTCTCCCACCCTGACGCAGCTCAAGGGGAACCCGCGTCTGTCTGTCCTGCTGCCAGCTGCACTCCTAAGCCTCACCCAGGACCCCACCCTCCACAGCTCATCCCACAGCACACGAGCTTGCTCAATGTCTCCCTGGATTAGAATGAAATTCCTGGAGGATGCTGCATTGCTCGCTGTATTCCACATCCCTCTACTTCCTTTGCCTCCCAGGCTATTGACAGTCTATTGAGTATGAACGTCTTCAATAAATATTTAGGCTCGCCATAAATATTACAGTGAAGACAAAAGGGTAGCAGCAAGATTCCACAGTTTCTCAAATTTCAAATAAGAGACTTATGTGAGGGCCTCCCATACAAGCCTTCATTTGCTCCCAAAACTTTTCCAGCCAGGGGACAGAGCCAAAATGAAGATGATAAACCTGATATTTGAACTATGATACAGTCAGAAGCCTCTCCGTTTCTAGGGGCTGCACAAGAAGGACAGTGCTGGGTTCTGCACAATTCTGAGATTTCTCTTACCTTCAACTATTGTTATATTGAGGGTTTCGGTGATGTTGTACAGTTTCCCGTTATGATGAAGAGAAAATACACAGGAGTAATAACCCTGGTCCTTAAACTCCGCGTTCTTCTGTATGGGCTTTAGATAGAATAGATTGCTTTCTGCTATCTTTATACAGTCCTGTTTTTCGAAAAGCAAATTAAAATATTTTAAATAAGTAAAGGAGTGTTCATATGTTACAATCGTTTACACTGTTAAACCTTAAGATTTCAGAGGGAAAGGAAAACAGAGTAGATCGAGATCCTGTGATTGGCAGTGCTGGTCTTGGAGCCAGGAAGGGAGTCCTGTGATGGCTACTGCTGCTGCCATTCTTAATACAGACTGGGTGACAGAAGTGGGGCACCGTGTCCGTTGTCATTATTGTCTTTTAATCAGAGAGACAGACACAGAGACACGGAGAGAGACAGACACACAGAGATACAGAGTCAGAGACACAGAGACACGGAGACAGAGAGGAACAGAGAGACGGAGACTCTACCACAACAACAAGTTCCTGCTTGGATCCAAACCTGCTGCACGAGCTACCTCGTCACACGCTCAGTCCAGTCCTGTGTACGGAATGGCCGTGCGGGGCAGGTTCCTCAGAAGCGAGAACCTCGCAGCTGAGACCCCCACATGCTGTCTCAGAAGGCAGCAGACAGACTGGGAAGGCACCAGCAATATTCAAAGCTGTGGGTACAGGTGGCTCTGTCTCAGTCCCCTCACTCACTCTCATAATTTCCATGAACGTCACGGGAACCCATGGCAGATGCCCCTGGGCTGCCTCAGAGGCCCAATGGGACAGCGGGTGCTGAGCAGCTGACCCGACAGGGTGATACCCACAGCCCGCACACTTCTCCCTCCGAGCGGGCCAAGTACTGGCTACTGGGCCACACCCTGTCAGGGTCTAGAACAGGCTAGAGAAGCTCCAAGTGGCCCTTGAGTCTGGAATACGTTTCTGTATAAACCAAAATTTTATACACCAGGTGGATTTTTCCAGGACACATAAGCCTCTTCATTTTCATCACACGGCTTGAGTTGTGTCGGGGGCCCAGGCGGTGTCTGTACACACACACTGTGTGGGTACATGTGCTCCAGCAAGAACAAGGTGAACCAGCCAAGAAAGCAGAGGAGATATAAAAAGGAGACAAAGGTAAAGAAAATACATCTTTAAATTTATTATTAAGAAAAGAAATGGAAAAAAGCAAAGCGTTTCAGAAGCTTTGCATGCCTTATTCTGTGTGTGTTTATTTTGCTTTTCGATACAGTCTCACTTTGTGCAGTCCTAGCTGGGCTTAAATTCACCATGCTCCCTAAGTTGCCCAGAGTGGCTTTCAACTCGAAATCCTCCTGCCTCAGCCTCTTACTCAAGTGATGGAATTCTAGCTGTGCATGACCATGCTGGGAGCAGTGGCAAGTCTCTAAACACACTAAGATAACTATTTCCAGCTTGCGGGGATGTGGGGAAGAGGATCCCTACCCTGGCCCAGCTCCCTGGAGAAGAGTCTAACAATGAGGATTGAAAGCCTTCAACGTCTTATTCGATCCAGTAATTTACACTTATGGAGCTGTTCAAGATGCATCTTATAACCACCCAAGGACTTTTGGATAGGCTCATGTTTAAATAAAAGTGAACAACAGGAAGCTCACAAATGTCCCAAAGCAGGGGGATGCTTTGGATGAAATCAGAAACAGAATCCCATTTGGAAAAAATTCTTAAATATGAGGGAGAATCACCACATGTGATTTTTCAGTGGATAAAAGAAAGACACAAGCAATATAGTAAATCACTTCCTAGAGAGCAGATGTGATGTTTACACAGAAAAGAAAAAAAAACAAGGTATCGATGTAATTAATAACGGGCAATTCTGGTTTTCTTCATCATTTCTCCATTTTCTAAATTTTAAAAAAGGAGCTTCTATATTCAAAAAATATGTAACCAAATTTTACATGTTAAATATATGTGGCAGAAGAAAATGAAATACCTGAAACTAACATTCCTTAAAATTCATCATTGAAAGAGGAGGCTGAAGCAGGAGGATCATGAGTTTAAGCCCAGCCTGGGCAATTCAGTGACTAAACAAGACCCTGTCTTAAAATTTAAAAAAAAAAAAAGTTTTGTTATGATTTGGATCTAAAAAGTCTCCCCAAAACCTCCTGGGCGGGGCAGTTCATCCATGGAGGTATTCACGGCTGCCCATGGCTGGAGCCATTCAGTGGGTGTGACCGGGAAGGACGCGCTCTTGTCCTGACTTCTGCTTTTTCTCTCTGCTTCCATGGTTGCGCAGCTGCCCTCCCCCAGGCCCGTCAGCCAGCAGACTGCAGACCAAACCAATGTCCAAAACGGTGAGCTAGTGACGCTGTCCCCGCAAAACTGCAGGTGGCAGGAGCTTCATCCCAGCAACGGGAAAGTAACTAAAGCCTAAGGATGTAGCTCACGCAGAGGCTGTGGGTGCCTCTCCCAGAGCTGCTCAGTCATCCATGGCAAGCTCCATGGATCGGTGAACGATTGAAAGAGAAGGAGAAAGTGAGGGAAAGGCAGAAGAGGGCAAGGTGCCCTCATTCACTGAGCCCCTGATACGACTCGGGCCAGCTGCTCCACTCCCACGGGACACCGAGCTGAGCCAGGCCACCCAAGCTGTGCAACGTGGACCGCTCGTCTGCTGCGAGAACAAAGAGTTCCAGGCCGTCACAGTTCATCCCAGGGTCCCCTCTCTCCTGCCACCCCGCAGGCTGAAATGTTACCTTGTACAGTGACGTTCTGTGGATCCGATCTTTATAGTAACTATTATTGCAGGGTATCTGCAAAGATTTCGTAACTCCCACATTTTTACTTTTTACTTGTTTTTCAGTAAAACAGCTCTGATTATTTCTTCTGATAACTTTTACCATCCATTTCTGGGTATCATTTCTATGAAATAAAGGTGTAAAGGTATTTTGTGATCACCACAGAAACATCGCAAGGATCACCCACGTAGTAGCACATCCAATACATTTTTCCTAATTCCTGTATAAAGAAATTGCTTTACTGAGGTCTAAACTCTGCTCTGCCTCATTATCTTGGTTCAGAGGAGCAAGAAATTTCATAACTGTCACGAGTTGAAGATAAAAACCAGAGCAGTCTACACACACACATACACACACACACATGCACATACATGCACACACACATATACATGCACATACATCAACATGCACGCACACCCAGTACACTCCTAAAATATTAGAGAATTGTAGTTGTGATGGGTGAATTCCAAGCAGTCTGGCAACTGACATCTTCCACACCAAAGTACAAAGGCTCACTCACTGAGCCAGTACACACACACACACACACACGCACACACACACGCACAGAAACACATGCATACACCATGCACACGCACGCACGCACATGCAGCAAGCACAAGCTGTTGCTTGGGGACCGCGCTGGCTGAAGATCTCTGCCCACTCATGCTCTGGGTGCTCACAGGAGCGCGTCCACTCCGTGCAGAAGGCTCCACTGTCAGAGCCACAGCCTCTCTAAGCTGACCCCAGTCCCCACAGCTGTGCGGTTTGGTCACCAAACACAGTCCTTTCCTGCCCTCTCCTGTGCACCGGCCTGGGTCTCTCTGGACTCCTCTCCACCCTCCTTCTCTGAATAACTCGATCTGCTCCCGGACCCCGCTGTGCGCTCCAGCTCCCCTCAGAATGGTGGCAAACGTCCTCTCCCCTCCGACTGCCGGGGAGGCCACAGGTGGCCGGCTCCATGCCTCCATCCACTTCCTGCCCGACCCAGAGCCTGGGGGCCTTAAATGACTCCTTCATTCACTGGGATTCAGCAAGGTGGTGTTCATGGTTCTCTTCCTCCACCCTTTTTAAGGTCTTCACTCTTCCTTACTCGCTATGAAAACGTCCAGTTGTGGCCCATTTCTGTAATTATCGCTGCTAAGGGGCTATGTACAGCGTGTTGGTTCTTCAAAGAGTTTTGCAATTGCTTTGTGACTCTCGGGAGTTTCTACGCATAAAAATGAAAAACCATGACCTCATTTGGTGTGGAACCACAGAAGTGGTGCTGAGGTTTCACTGTGAACTCTCTTTCTTCCTCTGCCTCTGCTCTAACAAGCGTGGGTGATAATGATCCGAACTCGAAAGGGAAGAGTGAGATTTCTAAGAGAAACCTGAGCTCAGCAACACCACGCAGCCAGCCTTACAACAGCACACACACGTGTGTCCACATACGTGCACACACAGGTGTGTGTAAGTAGGTTTCTATAATGACGGCCAAGTTCAGTCACAGCGCAGCGGCCGACACACTCAGCTGGTTGCTGTCAGGTCACAGGAATCCTATGCCTCGATTCTGAAGCTGGCAGCGTCTAGCGCCCAGGCACAAGTAGACAACAAAGCCCATCCTGCCTGGCCTCTCAGTGCCCACTGAACGCACCCCCAGGGGCTCTGCCACCTGCTTCCCAGTGGCCCGTGAAGACCACACCAGTCTCTGTCAGCCCCACTCCCTCCCACGGAGGCTGCCTGCTGCCCTCGCTACACGTGACACCATCAGAAGTCCTAGTCACAGGTTTCTTTGACCAGAGCACCCACACCACAGGAGCAGCTCCACTTTCACACTTTCCTATATTGGGTTGCTTCGCAAAGGCCAAGAGTCCTAAGAAATACAATGAAATCAAAGATATACTCACCCTGACTGGCAAAAGTAGGATCCCTCATCCTCTAACTCCACCGGCCAAAACTCCAAGACGTCCTTATGCAGAGTAATCCGGGCTGAGGTGCCCAGGTGCAGCTCAGCATGCCCATGGGGGGCGTCGCTTTTGTACCATTTTATGGCGGCTGCCTTACTTCTCAGAGCAGAGGAGCAATATTTGAGGTAAAAAGGTTCCCCTTCTACCACATTAACGTGGAGCCGTGAAATACAATCTTCCCCTAAAGATTAGCAGAGGCAAAGGAAAAATAAAAACAAACGATGAAGGTAATATGTTCTCTTCTAACATAACACACTGGGGGAAGAAGCAAAGTTAGTAAGAAAGTTCTGAGAAATCTCAGCACCACATTTAGTTTTTCTAATGCTAGGAGGGTATACACATTCAGGGTATAGGCATCGACAAACTAGATCATTCTCCTAAACAGGAAGGTGTAAGAACATAACATACCATAGCCAAGAGGTAGATATGGGTAGTGTCACCTTGTAAAATATAATACTATGCAGAGGACCACCTAGGCAACTCTCCTGGAAAGAGAAGCAATTGCCTCCATTTTGGCTGAGCCTGACCCTATTTCCATGTACTGACGTGTACAGAGCTGGCTAGGACTTGTCCTTATCTCTTCATTTGGCTTTAAGCAATGCATATTGGTCTAGCCAAGGTGCTGATGGTGATCTTTGCAGACAGCAGGCGTGTTTCTCCGGACTGCCCCGACTCTGTTGATCCCACGAGAGAGCCAGGATGAGGCGGGATGTGTGAGCCAATGCTCCACACTGCTGGCTGGCATTGAGCCTCGGGAAGAGGCTATGACTTCCTGGGGCTTCAAGCATTACACATAAAAGATGACACATCAGAGCTGCAGCACCAACCCCAGAACTTTAGATGTTACTTCAACTGTGTTACGCAGATCACCCTTTCTGCATCTCCTCTCTGCATTTGCAGAGGTGATTTCAGGCCTCCCACCTAGCCCAGCTCACGGCACTCACCTACTTCCCGCCTTTCTCACAGTCGCTCATCCTCAAGCCACTCCCTTCTTCATGAATGAATAAAACCCAGGTTTGGCCTTCAGTCGAGGCCTTTGTTCCAGATGGTCACCATCATGGCTGGACGTAGGGCCCCTTGGTGATCCATAACTACAAATATGCCTTAGTGTCTTTACTCCAGCCATGGGTTGCACTGGAAGTGGTAGACTGGAATTAACTCACTAGAATTCCAATAACTTTCCATGGGATCACAAATATAACTTCCTGGGCCGCGACAAGGACCGGAAGCGATCTCTACAATACTTCACATTACAGCTTCTTGATAAGGACAGTCACAGGTACTAGTGTTGCCATATTGGCCCCAAATGTCCCCCGCAGGGGAGTCCCCATAAAAGGCATCCTCGAAGCCTCACCCACCCACCCCAGGCTGAGCCACACCCGCTGCCCCTCTGCAGGTCAGGTGAGGGAGCAGCACAGGCCTCCCCCCACGCTCAGGGTGTGAGGATGCCTGTCACTGCTGGAGGTGACCAGGCGGGTAGTCAGGGATCCCTTAGCACACCTGACCCCCAAGCCAGGGATCTGTCCTGTCCCTCTCCGAGCTCTCTTTGTCTTCTGCCCACACCTTCTCAACCCACCCCATCCTCTTGCTTTGAGAATGCGTCTGATCTTTGCACGCACACAGTAGGTCCTCATTTCCTTGTGCTGGACCTCCAGGGGTCCAAGGTGGCATCAGGAGACCACTCACACCCTGTCCTCCGCTGCTCCGGGAGCATGGGCATCATTTAGGTAAAGGAGGCATCCCGTAAGGACATGGACAGAAAGCTCTCTCTCTAGTTGGGGTTTATTTCGCAAAGCAACAGTCTGGTTTTCACTCAGTGTTGTCAACCAGCCAAAAGAGGAAGCAGCGCTCCCGTGGCAGAGGGTGACTTTGAAACTCACAGGGTAGGAGTCCGTGGCTGTTATATAATCTCTATTTCACACTTCAGTACTTCAACACAGAAGGTGAAAGCCATGTGGGCGTTAGTTTTAATTGACACTCAGAACTACAGTACGTTATTAACAGTTCTTTTATTTTCCCCTTAAAGATCTGCATGTAGTAAAGCACATAAACCATGCACTACATGCTCTTCTGTGTCTGGACATTTGTGCACCTTCATATCTAAGACAGGCATCCACGCTGCTGCGTGTAGCTGTGAGGGGTTCTTTTCTCTGTCATGTAGTATCCAGCTGTGCTACTGCTTCACTATTCATTCATTCTGTAAGTGGACAAACACTGGAGATTTGGGTTATTGAACAAGGGTCTACTGGACATTTGGGTCATTTCTAGGTTTCCAGGTTTTGACAAATGTTAAAAATACTTCTCCAAGCACATGTGCCTGTGTTTTGATGACATGTGCACTCGGTCCTCTTTGGAGGAAGTTAGGAAGTGGAGAAATCTATGTGGAATTCAGAGTTTCCGGGGATGGGTAGAAGGCAGCTGAACATGTACACTGCCCGGGCAGCTCCTGTCTTCAGACCGTTAACTTCACCAAGAGCAGTAAAGCCTGGCATTGCTGGTCAGTCCAAAGCTGGTGAGGAGTGGGCTCCGCTTGTAGAAATGAGCAGAGATCATGCTGTGTGGCGCAGGAGCCATAACCTCTCCTCTCCTCCACGAGTGGCTGTAAGAGCCAAGAACCTGGATCTCCCGGGGTCAGGTCTGTGTCTGCAATTGCCCCGAGTTTGGATGAGTCAGGGGTGCTGTCCCCTAACTTCCACTCAGTTTAACAACCCCACTGGTGGAACATTGCCCTTCCTACCCACAGTGACCATTCACAGAAGATGCTCCCCAAGTACCTGGGGGAGGAGACTGGGACCTTCGTAGCCTCCTGTGACACGCTACAGAGCTCTTTCTGTGCCTGAAACATGTTTCATGGTACCCAGAGTGAGGTCATTGTTGTATGTCCACAGAGAATGTCACCGTAACACGTACACTCTGCACCCAGCTTTTTCACTCAGTAGTTTCTGATGGGTCACTCCATATTCAGGAGAGATCTACCTCATCCCTTTCATGTGGGCCTTGCCATTATAGAAAACCATGGCAACATCACACAGATCCGTGCGCGTAACCAGACCTCAAGCCTGGACCTGTACGACATGAAGTATCAACAGCTTAACTCTGCGCTACCTTCCTCAGTAACTCTCAGAGTAGAAGGCTTGGGCCAGGGATCCCTCACACAGACAACAGACCAAGGCCAATGAACACCTGTGCTCCTTTCTCCTGCAGAGCCTTCGGGAAACCTTGCTGCTCCATCACAGAACTCTTCCCCCAGGAATGGGCTCTCAGAATCCTTCCAGTAGAAAAATGGAACATCCAGTCACCATCAATAAATTGAAAGTGGTACAGTGGTGCCTCAGTTCATGAACACTCCTCCTTTTGCAAACAGAATTCACAAACCTTTGCTTCCTTTGGCAAACTCTGCATTGGGTGACATAGCACCCTACGGGGAAATGTGATTCAGTTCGTCACCAGAATCATGGATAGAGCTGAGTTTATGAATCCAAGTACCACTGTGTTTGCCATCTGCTTGGAAGCCCGCTTGAGCTCCCCATCTGATCAGTCTCTCTCTCCCTTGCATACACCTTGCAGCCTCCTAATATTTAAGACCTGTACTTTCCCTGTTTTTTCCAAAGAATGAGATGGGTTTTACCTTCTCTCAGGAAGGAGAGAATGTGCATAAACTTTCTAAAAACCAGTAATAAAGATGGTTGCCTCCTTGTCTTCAAGTAACAGGAAGTAAATTTCCTTCTAAGACAAATACAAGTTCTCTCTCTGTGTAAAGCTGGAGGGCTAACTCTTCCCTTTCTCAAGGATACCATGTGCATTTTCCTTACTTGATCCTATTCCCATGACACTTTCATTCTCTACACCAAGGACACCAAATAGTTATCAGTTTTCCAAAGTAAAAAGTTAAATCAGTAAATTTTAATAAATTCAGCGTCTTCAGTACCCACCTCCACACCACAGAGCAACACCATGAATTATTAATGACGCACGTTTGTGAATAACAGTAATCTCTTACCGGAAGTGCTTCTAACTGTAAGAACCCAAAGTGTCAAGAACAATTCTCCGCGACGCATGCTTAGGCTCCTGCTGCAAACGGCTCCCCTGGAAAACACAATAGGACAGGTTAAGACAAAGCCTCCAAATGAAAGAAAACGTGCCTGTCTGCAAAAGGAGTCTTAAAACAATCTTCTGACACACAAACATTCAAAAAGCAGCCCAAAAGATTTTCGTATTCCTGAAAACGCGGCCAGTTCTCAGAACTTTCAGCAATACAGAATTGACAAAATTTCAAGGCAATGAATTTCAGCTTCCAGAAAAAATACCTAAAAATGCAACTTTCTAGTACTCTAGGTCCTAGACCTTTTAGGCCTGGTCTACTAAATCCCGCCTGCGAGGCCAAAGTTGAGGGCAACGGGACAGTGCTTCCAAGAGGCCGGATGCATGTGGCATGGTAACACGTTGTGCTTCTGCTCCCGTCTCCCCTGCCCCTCCTCCATCTGCAGGTCCTCTTCCCATCTGCAAAAGGCTAACTCCCTCTTTCCTATCGTCTATCTTATACTTTGCTTTTTAATTTATTTAGACTTTGGGTTTTTCACATGACAGGAACCATGTGATACTGAAGTTTGTGTGTCTAATTTATTTCACGTAATATTATGATCTCAAGCTGCATCCACTTTCCTACAACGGCTCCAGTTTATCCTTCTCTATGGCAAAGCAGTGCTCTGTGGTGTGCAAACACCGCCTCTCCCCTTCCAGGGGCCACGCCCAAGACCCCTGAGGCCACACCCTTATAAGGTCCACTGTGTCCTGCAGGCGCCGCTCCACGGATCAAGGCTCAATCAACAGGATTTGCAGTTAGATCTGGATTTGTGGGCTGAATTTTCTAAAACCTGCCTTCCTTCTTCACAGTGACAGTTTCCCATGTCTCAGGACTCAGTCTCTGGGCCTCTCCGACGTCCGGTCCGAGCCCTGGACACTGTCAGCACCCACCAGCACTTGTGATTGGCAAAGGCTGTGCACATGTGGGGCCTTCTGCACTCACACACCCACATGTTTATCTTAGGGATTCTGAGACTGAGCCCCAGCGCCCTGCACTCTGAACCCGCCCTTTCCACTGACCGTGACCCCTGTGACCGCCGTCTGCCCTGAACTCTGCCCTCAGGGCCTCGGTCTTCACCCTTCTAGTCACAGTTTGGAGAGCAGAATGCAAGCGGCGTCTCCCAGCAGAGCCCACTCACTGAATCCGGCAGTCCAGGAAGAATCCCAAACCTCGAGGTCTGCATCTCAGCCTCCCCTCTCGGTGGAGGGACGGGGTGTGCTGCAAAGGGCTCGGCTCAGGGACGCACGCACCGGTTGGACAAAGCTCAGAGGAGCGGAGCAGCACCGGGAGCTGCAGGAGTCTCCCGGCGGTCTGCTCATCGCCAAAGCAGAGAAGGGAGCCCGCGGCTAGCCCTGGAGGCAACAGAGCTCCCGCTCAGCGCGGCAAGCTCTGGGTCCAGCCCTGCTGCCGCAGAGACAAGCAACAAGGAGGCCTGGCTCCAGGCTCACCGCAGAATGAAGCCAGCTGCTGCCTACGAAGACCTCTGGGTACGCAGTGACAACCCCACGATGTTCACCGCCCCTCCTAACAGGGGGAGAGCTGATAACACCCCGGCCGCGGAAAAAGTTGAATGATGAAGCTGCCAAGCTACTTCCTCCTCCAGTCCTTGTGAATAGCATCACCCGCTCTCTGGTGGAATTTCCAGGAGACCGCAGCCAACCGCGTGAAGGGATGAGCATGTGCGGAAAGCACCCCCTGCCCACCGTCAGACCCGAGCAGCTCTGGTGGGAAAGCGGCCGCTGCCCATGCACACGCGTTTGTGTCACCATCACCTCCGTCTATTCTTTCATGCCAGGTCAAACGCAAAGTGCTGTTTCCTTTATGTCATTTTTCGCGTAAAGGCTGACACAGCCCTACCCAGGCCGCCGCTTTTGTAGTCTTTCCTGGGGCTGACCGAGGGGCAGGGCTGTGAGACGATTCGGGATCCTGTGAGCCGAGAGTCCCCGGATGAATGCACTCGGGTCCTCATGTACAAAGCAGCTGACGGTCCCAGAGCTCACCGGACGTGCAGACGTGTGAATTAAATTGTGAAGCCACTTGCTAAGTTGCATGTTTGAAAGGAAGAGACTGATACTTCATTATATAACGAAGCTATATCCAGGAAAAGAGAGCTATTTTGAGAACTGTCAAAACTACTGTGCTCACTTGTGGCTAGCCTAGCCATTATTAGTAAAATAAATGTAGGAGGCTAAAAATATTACAACTCTTGTACTCAAGGATTTTAGAGGGTGTAGTATTACGTTTGGGGGTTTGGTTTGTTTTTTGCTTATCTGTAACTTTTAAGTTTCTTCTTTCTTCTTTTTGGATCTTTGTCCTGATTTCTAAAGCAATTCATGCCCAATGCAGGATATTTTCAAAATGAAGTCCAAAAGATGGAAAAAATTTCAACACGCATACTTTTAGCGCTATGTTTTGGTGCCTTACGTTTTTCTGTATATTTTCAAATACTTAAATGGAGCTTAACTGATTTTACATCTTGCATTCTGTCAGTGTTACATACCAGCACTTTCCTGTACCACAGTGGTCTTTTGGCTAACACCATTTTAACTGCCACCTGCTACTCCTCCAGTGGATGTATCACCATCTACACAAGGATCCGTATTATAAAATAACCCCAGGGCCATGGCGCTGCGTCAGGAGCTGGGCTCAGATTTTGCAGCATGGCCTCAGCATCAGCCTGGTCGAATGTGACGCTTCTCCTTCTCTTCTACCAGCTGTGTTACCACAAGGCAAGTTACTGACCCTCTCTGTTCTCACTTCTGTATCCAGGGGCGACAAGAACACTGTCTTCCAGAGCTGATGGGAAACCGCCAGGCCCTTATTATCACTATTGCAAAAGGTCTGGGGAATAATAAATGCCACGGAAATGTCATTTTCATTTGCATTTCTCATCATTTGTTGGTGCGACTACCTGGCAGGAGAATAAATGGGTCACACTTGTACCCACGATAAATGCGTACCACAAAACCACACTCCAGAAACGCTGGAAGAACTCCCACTTCCCCCTCCACGGTGCAGAAGTTTCCATTGCCCGCAGTGAGCACTCAACAGTCTCATTTTTAATACCTACCCAGGCAGGCAGGACGGAAACACAACGTCTCACTGTTTTTTAATCCCCATTTCTTTTTGTTATAAATGAAGCACTTATTAATCGAGTATTATTAAGCATTTTATTTCTATATTTATGAACCACTTCTTTATACCCTTTGCCCCACTCTCAGATGTTTGGTGCTTGGTTTACTTTTAATTCCTCTTTTGGTATGTTAATATCAGAGGAGTCGAAACAATCATTCTTTTCTTTTGTGATTTTTTCCATTACTTTCAAATATAAAACATTTCTTTCCTCCAGGGGTAAAAATATGTTTATCTGTATTTTCTTCATTTTTATGGCTGAGTCATGTTCTTTTCAAAAATTCACTAATATCTAGACGTGGTGGTATACCCCTGTAATCCCAGCACTCAGGAGGCTGAGACAGGAGGAACACTGCTGTGAATTTGAGGCCAGCCTGGGCTACAAAGTGAGTTCAAGGCCAGCCTGAACTACATTGCAAGACCCTGTCTCAAAAAGACAAAAAAAAAAAAAAAAAAAAAAGCACCAATAATTAATGTTCTTATTTGGCATGAAAATAGGGCCTAATTAAGCTTATTTTTCTTAGATAACTACTAATTATTTCTCAATCATTAATGGCATAGTCCTTTCTTTTCTTTAAAATTTGTTGATATCAGGTTCTAAAGTATGGGTTTTCCCTGAGCGCTCTACAGGAAACCTACTGTATACACACACACACACACACACATCCATCATCCCATCTCTTACCTTTAGTTTTTCTTTTTTTTTACCTTTAGTTTTTCTATTCATAATAATTATCACTGACATAAGTTTATTTTTGTCTGCTAGCTGGTTTATTATACAGTAAATAATGATTGCATTAAATCCATTATATATATGTATATGTATATACATATAGATAGATAGATAGATAGATAGATAGCTATAGTTTGGAGTCTAGGTGATCAACCAATCCATTGGCATCTCTGGTTATCTACATTCAAAACCTTGGTTGGTTTGTTTTTGTTTTCTGAGACACGGTCTCACTATATACCCCAGGTTGCTTTCAACTCTCCATCTTCCTGCCTCAGCCTCCCAAGTGCTGGGATAACAGGCATGCGCTACCATGCCTGGTTTAAATTATATTATCCTGAAAATATTTTAACAGCAAACTTTGGCCAGGCTGCTAGCTTTCACCTGGAGCTTGCAAAAAACTCAGTAATGAATTCTGAGCTCCAACCCGCTCTGGCGCATGACCTGGGCACCCTGAGTCCTCTTAAGTCTCCAATCAGTTCTAACATGCAGCCAAGGTGGACAGCCACCGACCTAGGGGACTTACTTGCGCACTCAGAATAGTATATCTGGAATGCTGAAAACATTCCATATGTGTATGGCCATAACGCCTCTACTGAATGCACTCACTATAAAGGTATAAAATAGGTACATGTCCATGTGTGCGGACAGACAGTCAGGAGCTTATGGAAATCATTCCATTTCATGAGATTTTCCTTCCTGAACCCGACTCTGCCTGTTGCTGGTGTTTGCAGCGCCCCCTAAGGAAGCTGAGCATTCGCTCAAAAACACGACCGTGACACGCAGAGCTTGACACCTGCGAGGAGGCCCCAGAGACAAGAGGGGGTGAAACGGCCCGGCCCGGACCGCGGTTCCTCCCCACAGGCAGCGCTTCCGTGCAAGCCACCTGGAAACCCAGCGCCTCCTGAGAGGAGCCGCCCTGACAGAAAGCACAATGCCTGGGACTTTTTTTCCTTTGCACAGCTGGGACTTGAACTCTGCCCCGAGCTGCGCTTTACATCCGATTCTCCCTGCACAGAGGCAGTGCACCCGCGGTCACCAAACGCGGACAGGGAAACGCGATCTCGGGCGTACACCGCATGCGCGCGCCTCGGCTCCCAGGAACAAAGGACCAGTGTGGACCGTGGTTTCCACGCTTAAGGCCAGGAAAATCACTGTCGTTGTCAAGCAGTGTCTGTTACTGTCGTCCTCACCCTTTCGCCCAGCTCCACCCATGCGGGTGGCCCATCTACCGCCCCTGAACGCCGCCAGGTCCTCTCTGTGCAGACACCCCTCGCAACCTCGCTGGAAGGCTGATGCGGAACGCAGCTCCAGGACTACTGCTGCCCGCACCGGGCGCCCTCGCCCCGCCCACCCGGTCAGCCCTGCGCCAGCCCCGAGCAGCCCCGCTCCCCATGCCTGAGACCAGACCATCTGTGCTCTGCCTGGCCGTGGGGTCCGTGCTGGGGTGAGGCGCAGCCCCCAGCCCCCAAATCCACACTCCGGGTACCCAAAGCTCTCAGGGTGAGAGGCGAATGGGGATAGCAGGGGTCCCAAGAGGGGAGCCAGGGAAGCTGGTGAGGTGTAAAGGACAGTCTCCCCGCCACCTGTCCCTGCCTGTGCAGAGACCGTCACAGCGGCCTGTGTTCTGACGTCTGCAGAAAGCCATGGGCGGGGACACAGGTTGGAGATCAGGACAATTGAGATGTGAATCTGTGCTCCATTACTCAGTAGCTGGATGTCCTTGTAAATTACCAAACCTCTGTGCTTTGGTCCTTGACCTTAGTTTTCGTTTTGTTAGTTTTCTCTTTCTGGTTGGTTCGTTGGTTGGTTGGCTGGCTGGTTGGCTGGTTGGTCGGTTGGTTTGGTTTTCTGAGACAAGGTCTTGCTGTGTAGTTCATGCTGGCCTTGAACTCACCATGTAGCCCAGGCTGACCTCGAACTCGCAGGGATCCTCCTGCTTCAGCCTCCTGCTTCAGCCTCCCGCCACCACGCCCAGCTCCCCTTCCCTTTGATTAAGCGGGATAATTCCGCTTGCCTCACAGGGTCTGGGAGGACCAAGCGAATATAACACCACGGCAGACGCTTTCCGCAGGGCGTCAGGCACAGCGAGCGCGCTTGGCACAGGATAAGGCTCACCCCTGACTTCGGCGCCCCCGCCCCAGCGACCTGAGACTGCACTGAGCTCCAAAACCGTGTTAGGGTGCGCGCTGGTGCACGCTGTCTAGTGAGCTCACGCGCACACACGCGTGGACACACACGCGCGAGCGGACACACGCGCACACGCGCGCCCCCTGAGCTTGGCGCAGGGTTCCAGGGTCCGTGGCGAGGCGCGGCTGGCTCCTACCTTCCGGCGCCGTCCTCCCGCTCCTCCGCACCGGCGGCGTCCGGCAGGCAGAGGCGCGGCGGCCCGAACCCCAGGAGGCGGCGGGGCGCGAAGGGGCGGGA